CTAGACTTACTGGCCAGTGAGCCCCAGGGCTTCTTTTATCTCCCCTTCTCCAGCAATAGAAGTACAGGTCTGTCCCTCTGTACCCATCTTTTTATGTGGGCTCTGGGCACTGAACTAGGTTTTCATGTTGGTGCGGCAAGTATTTTTACCAATGGGGCAGTTGCCCTCTCTCCATCTTCATTCTTTGCATCAATTATTTGAGACTATTTATAGCAAACAACCCTGAGACACAGCAGTTACTGTAATGGCAAAACTTACAGATGAGGTGGTCGAGTCACAGTAAGATGAAATGACAGTGTCTACAGGTGTGTGACCTAGAGCCACCAAACTACAGTTCAAAGCCAGCCTGATGCATTCCAAAGCTCTGGTTTGTGGTCATGGGTACAGCTCAGTGGCTGGGCCCTTTCCTTAGAATTTGCGAGGCCCTGGATTTGATCGCCAGTATGAAACAAACAAACAAACAAACAAACCACAAAGAAAGAGAGAGACCCAAACAACAACAACCCTAGAAAACAAACAACAAAACAAGCCTCCCGCTTGCCTCCTACAACTTCAGGCAAACTAAATTCAAGTGAAGACATGGAACCAACAGACTTTAAGAATAGAATCACAAAGCCGGGCGTTGGTGGCGCACGCCTTTAATCCCAGCACTCGGGAGGCAGAGACAGGCGGATCTCTGTGAGTTCGAGGCCAGCCTGGTCTACAAGAGCTAGTTCCAGGACAGGAACCAAAAGCTACGGAGAAACCCTGTCTCAAAAAATAGAAAAAAAAATAGAATAGAATCACAAACTCCTCCTTTCTAAGAGAAGAAGCAGACAGGCTTGTAGTAAATGTAAAGGAGAGAGGAAGAGACAATATCCCATGTATAGAAATTAAGCTGAAAAGTGGAGTGTAGGTCAGAGACTCTTAGAACCACAGCAAGCGGCTCGAGACTCATGAGCTGTGACATGGAGGAGGAGGAGGAGGAGAATTTCCAGCATGGGGCAGATCACACAGCTGATATAAGATAAAAATTTGAGTACGCACGTAACTATGAGTGTCACCACAGAAAGTCATAAAAGAACAACTTCAGAGTTGTGCACAAGGAAGGCTCATGAAGCTGATCACAGGACCACGTTTAACAATTTTTGTCACTCAGAAAGATTTCAGAGGTAATTGTCAATTATCTAATGAAATGCATCCAGATAAAACACCCTTGACTTACGGTGAGGTGACTTTTCAATAATGCAAAAGCTGGAGTCTTTCAGGAGGAACATTGCTGAGAAATCTGAGTTTTGATCTTTTTCCTGGGTCAGCTCTACCCTCCCCACTACAGTTGCTAGTGGCAACTGTAGACCGAACTGTGGTCACAGCCTGAACAAACCACTCCCCATGTGTTTCAACGCGGATGCTCTAGACCCGGATTCTCAGGGGTAGTAAATATATTTTCGGTTTGAGAACTGTCTATATGCACATGACATCATCATGACTCAAGGAGCAATCTGCATGGCTTTGACATTTAAATCGGACCAATACAGGACAGTAGAGAGCAATATTAGTTATGGATGTGCTAACGGGATCGCTGTTGGTCAAATGCGGGGCTCCCCTTTCCACAGTGTGGAGTTACTGCAGGGAAACAGATGGTACGCAACCAGGGGACCCTTCTCAGCCTATATACTGGTCTCACAGTCGGCAGAACGCAAGGAGGTGTTCATTTCCAGATTTCACTGAAGATCCAGAAGGTGATGAAGTGCTACGCATCTAAGCTTCTACAACAAGTTTTACTGGAACACAGCCATACCTGTTCATTTAGCTGTTGCTATGGTTGACGTCCCCACTACAAGGGTGGGTGGGGCTGTTGTGACAGACTGAGCTTATAGCTTACTATCTGGCCCTTTAAGACAAAGAGCCTTGCTTGGAGAATGGTGAGGGATGGGGGGGGGGGGGCTACAAGCAATATTAAGGAGTATGGCATGGAGGACTCCTCTTAGTAACAACCTCTTCCTGGACTGTTAGAACACTAAATAAATGCTATGACATGCCAACGAATGAGAAAATTGATCCAGACTTATAAGTAAAATGTGAGCAATTTCTAAGCACAGAATCATGAAAGGCTGCTTCCAGGAATGTCAGGGCGATTTGGAAGGAAGCAATGCCACCAGACTGTCACAGGCAGCAATGATATTTCCATGTCGTTGTTGTTTCATGCCCTTTAAGAGCATTTGACTCAGTGTCCTCTTCAAATTACCCTGAGGGAAGACATGTCCTCACACAACCTATACCAAAAGCACCTGCCGTGTATGAAGGCAGTGTTCAGCCAACAGAAAAATGGAATGAAAACATGCGCTCATGCAGCAGCTGTAGGAATGCAGATAAGCATAATATAGACAGCATGACGTGTTATCACGTCACCTTTACCAGGCAGGGTCTGCTGTCCACCCTAGTCTGGCCATAAGCTCACTGCCTCCTGGCTGTTCCGAACCACTGTCAACCTATCAGTAATAACGGGATTCTACTAAGCAGGAGGCACATGATTATCCAGTCATCTCTCATGTCATTATTTATTGCATATATATGAATTTATATGCCTTATGCACAATTTTATACATAAGGCAGGGGTTTCTATGACTCCTCAAAAAAAAAAAAACCACCCTGCTAGATATATGTAGTAAAATTTTATTTTATTTATCATACTATACTATATCATCTGTATAATTTATACCAAATTGATATAACCTACAAATGTAAATACATATTGAAATTGTTATATGAAGTAAAAAACTATTGAAATGTAGTGCACACGTACAGTCCTATGATGACATTGGTCATATAATATATAGATTTTCAACTACCAGCCACTGCACAAAGTGGAGCCGGAAACACGTCTCATCTGTAGACATTTCCACTTAAACAGGACGAACTGAGAAACTTACGGACACTATTAAGGAAATCTTCAAAGATACTAAGAAAAATTAAATATACAAAATGAATATTTCCAGTGTCACTGTGATCCAAAGGACTGGCTTATAACAACAAACTGTGCTGAAGGACTTGCAGGGTCGGGGTAAATGGAAAGGGATCTTGTGTTTCTGACCTGGAAGAATCTGTGTGCTTTAAGCATATGGATTATGGCTCCGCTGCATATTAGTCTATAAGTGTGTTGTATTCTCAAACTAATTTTGACAGGAGTAAGTTAGCCTATGAGAAATTGTTCCTAAGTGTTTTCCGCTGCATATTAGTCTATAAATGTGTTGTATTCTCAAACTAATTTGGACAGGAGTAAGTTAGCCTATGAGAAATTGTTCCTAAGTGTTTTCTCCTATACACCTCTGTAAGTAGCCAGGAAACGGTAGACAAAGCAGACCAATGGAAAGAAACTTCTGAAGACAAAGGCCAAATCCAATTCTAAAATACATGACAAGATTCTAAACAAAACAAAATTACATATGCCTCTTAATCTAAGCCCTGAAATCTTTTCAGAGGCACTCAGATTTTAAATTTGAAAATGAGCGTGTGTATATGATGAAGTAGGTTAAAAAAAATTCCATACCATTGAGCTGGGAAATAGTCTCAACTAAAACAAATGCAGAAACTATGAAGAAAAAGATGAACAGATGAGAGGGAAACTTGAAAGGGCTGTGTGTAAAACCAGGACGCACAAGGCAACAGACTGCTAAAGTGTCTGCCGCACTAGTGATAGTGGTTTTTCTCGTATAGGTAGCGCATACACGGAGAAACACAGGCGGCAGGAAGGAAAGGAGAAAGGCTACCAGTTGGGAAGGTGCAACGTTGGTAGAGACTAACGGTGCAGATTAGAAATCTTCCGCCTATAATAGCCAAGTGACAACTTTATAGTCATGGAACAGGACGTTCCAAGGAACGATGAGAGATTCCCAATGTCAGTTTCTCCCCAGACTTTTGTCCTGGCTCTAGGAAGGATCTACCCGAGCAGTGATGAGAGCATGTACTCCTGAGACCTGTAGGCCAAGTTCCAAAGCCCAAGACATTCAATGCGGAGACCATATGTGAAGAGGACAGACAACCCCTGTGAGATGTCTAAGTGGGCAGTGGGAGAGGAGTCAGTGACTCTCCTGGAGTGCCGATTTCCACAGTCACACATTCCAATGATCTCTGCATGAATGGCTGAGACCGAGACATAAGGCAACTCAAGGGCCTCTCACAATAAATGTAGTTTAGAATAAGTTGTCCTTACACGTACTTTTGACAACACATTGAAGCATTTAAATATCTATTGGTAAGTAATACCTTTCAAGTGTCCCCAGGAACTGCCTGCGGGTCTAATTAGCAGAAAGTCAGTTTGCCCATAGGAATGTTCATCCCCCCTACTCCACCCCCCTCTGTTTACCCAGGGCCCAACCACAGCATAGCTTAGATGAACTCTGTGCTTGCAGACTGGACCCACCTGAGGTCAGCTGGTCTAAAGGTCTGTGAAATGAGCTAAGGCAGTTTCTGAGAAAACTGGTGAGTGTATCACCTCCTTGAGTGTTTGGCCTCGGGCATGACGTAAGAATTGTCAGTTTGCTGCCTGTCATAACGTGAGTTTTGCTTGTGAAAGCCTGGGCATTGCCTTCTTCATCCCAACCCTAGAACACAGCAGCCAAACTATTTCCATTGTACTAGCTTGCTCTCCATCTCTCTCTTATTGGTTAGCCTGGTTTTAAAGATCTCACTTGAAGCTCAGATTGGTCCAGGGCTGACGATGGAGCCCAGGCTGGCCTTGAACTCGTGGCAATCCTCTCATCTCAGCCTCTCAAGTGCTGGGATTGCGGCTGTAAGACTTCCTTACTGACTGTTCTCATCTAACTTTTCTTGTCTCCGCCTCCTCAACATAGGAAGCTAAAGTCAGTGGACCTCTGGGCATGGGGAACACGCTTGGGGAGCAATCCATGGCATGGCTCATCCAGCGAGCTGCTTAGAGCAGGCTTCCTACCTTGCCAGAGCTGTGGCTGCCCTGGTTTTCACAAGTGTGGGACAGGCATGCCTCCCCCAAGCCCAGCTACCTTTTATAGCCTCTTTTACTGAGGAATCCATAGGCAGGATGTTCTTCTCCACCAGTTCCAAGGGCCCTGGGCGGAGAGCAATCTTTTCATTGAGGTCATCCGCGAGGCGGGCTCTTTTCAGCTTCATCTGAGCAGTTGGGATGGATCTTTCTGCCGTGGAGGCTGCAAGGTGGAAACAGGCAGGGGCCGTTTTAGAATTTGATGTCATTTTGTTTGGTTCGCTTTCTTGGCCGGTGGCTACAAAACCCCGTGTCACACCATGCCCTACATCCTGATAATGTTTCAATGCAAGCCTCATCACTTCACAGGGATTAGCTCCAGAGAGCAGACACTTCCAAATAAAGGCAAATGAAGAGGCACGGGAAAACTGGAGAAACTCGCCTTGAGAGGATTTGTTTTTTTTTTTTTTTTAAAAAAAATGCAATTTGGCAATTTTGTAAGCAATCCGTCCATGGGTCCATGCAGCTGGCTTGACCCTAGGTTGCTGGCTTTTGAGAATGACTGGCACAGGCGGGGCCTATAGTATACACCATCTCCTGTTGAGAGTTATAGGGGGAGTGGAACCTTCTGGGGCTTTTACACTTGTCAATGCTGTGATGCTGACTGAGAGTTAAATGTGACGATACACTGAGAACTCAAGAACAATGGCAATGGGCTTTTGATCCTATTGCATGTACTGCCTTTGTGGGAGCCTAGGCAGTTTGGATGCTCACCTTACTAGACCTGAATGGAGGTGGGTGGTCCTCGGACTTCCCACAGGTCAGGGAACCCTGATTGCTCTTTGGGCTGACTAGGGAGGGGGACTTGATCGGGGGAGGGGGAGGGAAGTGGGAGTCGGTGGAGGGGAAGAGATAGAAATCTTTAATAAATAAATAAATAAATTTAAAAAAGGCAAAAAATCCTTTGAAACTGAGATTTTAACTAAACAGAAGGAGTTTTAAAAAGAAACTGAATTTTATCCAACAGGCAGCTTCTCGTCATTTGGAGGGTGGAAAAGGTGAGGTACAGAGTTCTAAATTCTACCCTTTATGGCTGACCCCAAATGTTCCCACTAGGGTGAGCTGAAGAAAAAAAAAATAAGGAAAATCTAGCCAACCTGTGGCTCTGGCGGACAAATGCAGGGTCTGTCTTAACATACTGAGCTGGAAAGATGAGGCGTTAATAGACGGCTCTCCCAACCCTCTAATACAGATCTGGGGTCTTCAGTCTGTGACTGGGCATCTCTTATGCAGCAGACAAATCCCGCAATCAGCCGCTGGCCATGCTTGTGTAGAAGCTCCGCAGGTAAGAGCAGGAGTGTTGGGGCCGCCGAGCAGATGCAGCAGGTAAGAGCACTGACTGCTCTCCAAGGGACTCTGCTTTAGTTCCCAGCACCTATGTCAGTGGCTCACAGCTTCCCGGAACCCCAGCTCGGGGGATCTGACACTCTCTTCTGGATTCTACCAGCACTCTTGTACGACGTTACTCCTCCTGCCCTTGCCGACACTTGTAATGAAACAGTAAAATAAATCTTTAGAAAAGAATGTTGCTCTCCAGCTCCTGGCTGGACTCCACTTCCCAATTCAACCCTGCCTTGGCCTCTTCTCTTCTCTCATTGGCCCTCAGCGTCTCAGCCTGCCGTGGACGGACCCACTTATTTTCCGGATAGAGATATTCCCGTGCCAACTCCTGCAGGCGCTCCCTGCTCCCTTCTGCCCTCGCGGCTTACTGTGCTGCCTTTTGCGGTCTGTTTCCTATTTGCCGTCCCCACCTCACTCAGGAGAGAGGAGCCATTTTTGTCTTAGTGGGTCTTGGGTACTCTGGGAAACTAATCCTTACTTCCTGTTGGGGAGACTAGAAGGCTCTGTGGAAGAGACAGGTCGCCGAATCAAGGGCTGGTGTGGTGGAGAACTTGATATTGATGGCAAGGATGAAAGAAGCAAGTGTTTTAAAGAGCTGGGCAGGAAAGTCAGGCAAGCATTGAGTCACACTGCACCTCTCAGGCTTTCTCAACCAGGGTGCCCTCTGTGCGCGTGGGATCCCAAATGCCCTGGCTGTGCATGAGAAAATGAGACCAGCAGGGAACTCCCCCACGCTGCCCCAGTCCTTCTGAGTTGTCTGTTTTTATTATTAGATCAATACATTTTCTTCCCAGAACTGGGCCACGAATGCGCATATTTACATGTTTAGTTTGCCTTCCCAGAAGTTGTCTAAAAGTCCTGTTTTGCTTTCTGCTGTTTTCACTAAACATTCTCTAAGCTTTTTCTTATTAACTCATTATTCTCCAAATCCCTAGCTATGGTGGCTGTGTGGTATTAAACTAGACAGAGGATCCCCAGTTTACCTGGGGGTCCCCTATTGTTGGACATTTTACCAGTTTCAATGTTTTCCCCTCCAAATATAGCTCCATGCTAAACACATTGCATCCAAACCTTTACAAATGCAAGTTAGACACACGGTCAAGGAGTTTGGCACACTCTGCCAAGCTGCCCTGTAGAAACTGACCTGGCTACACCCCAACAACAGAGTACAAATGAGGCGTTTTTGCCACATACAATATTTATTTTTATTTTTTAAATTGTTTTTATTGAGCTGTATATTTTTCTTCACTTCCCTCCCATCCTCTCCCCTCCCCTTCTACCCTCTCTCAAAGTCCCCATGTTCCCAATTTACTCAGGAGATCTTGTCTTTTACTATTTCCCATGTAGATTAGATCCATGTATGTCTCTCTTAGGGTCCTCTTTGTTGTCTAGGTTCTCTGGGATTGTAAATTTCAGGCTGGTTTTTCTTTGCTTTATGTCAAAATCCACTTATGAGTGAGTACATATTACATTTGTCTTTCTGGGTCTGGGTTACCACACTCAATATGATGTTTTCTAGCTCCATCCATTTGCCCACAAATGGAGTATACCACACAGCGGCAAAAAACAATATTTATTTTCATTTGCTAACTCAACCATTGAAAATCTGTATCACAATTAAATGGCATTTCTTGCACAATTTGCATAGCTATAATTTTGTGCCAACATGACAGCGGCTCCCAGAGTCTTCATAGATGCCATTGTAAAGGAGGTAAGAATTTTGTCACTTGTGCCCGAGAGCCCTTAGGTTCTTCAGAGCCTCCCCTTCAGACTCTGTGCTGCCTTCTCTCTACCTTACAGCGTCCCACTCACTCCATGGTGGTAGAAAGGTCAGGAAACCAGAAGGATGGAGACGATGCTGATCAAAGAGAAAAGACTCTCTTATGGTCTCTGTAGCTACTTTTGAATGCCTGTCCACACTTTCTTAGTGGGAAGTATGGTCTCAAATATAAGAGTCAAATTTATTTTTTTTCTTTTGTTATTTACCTCCTTCTATACATCTCAGATCTGTAGCACTAGAGCAAAAAAAAAAAAAAAAAAAAAAAAAAAAAAAAAAAAAAAAAAAAAAAAAAAGACAATGTCTTGTTTCCAAGAAGCAGTTCAAAGCCAGCAGATGCAATGAACAACTTTGTGAGTATGATGGGACAACATGCAATTGGGACAATATCACAAAATTGATTTTCACTTGCATTTAAAATTTAATCACGTAAAAACTGTTTTCATTGATTATTTCTAGATTTTAAAGTCTCTGTATGATATTTCACAAATATCCATAATTTGAAAACTAGGACTTTATGTGTGAATTTTGCATTCAATTTTAAAGATTATTATTCCATGTAAAGTGTAGATTTGTGAATAAAAGTATGGTTGAACAAAAAAAAAAAAGAGAGAAAAGACTCACAACTTCCTCTCTATTTCAGGACCTTTTCTACCCTGTACAGCTTGCATCCAGACTTGGAAATTCATATTCTAGAGAGAGCACCCTGGTGCTGGGTGCATGCTGCACCTCCACCTTAAATGCCCCTCCATCTTCCTGAACCTGGACCATACTTCACATCCCAGCTCCTTCCCTTCCCTTCTGCAGTCTATTCTGAGTCTGATGTCTCCCTTCTGAAGCCTCCTCCGTGCATTCCCACCACCATGCATGTTCTGCGTGCATTCCCACCACCGTGCATGTTCTCAGTGCATTCCCACCACTGTGCATGTTCTGCGTGCATTCCCACCACCGTGCATGTTCTCAGTGCATTCCCACCACTGTGCATGTTCTGCGCGCATTCCCACCACCATGCATGTTCTGCGCGCATTCCCACCACCGTGCATGTTCTGCGCGCATTCCCACCACCGTGCATGTTCTCAGTGCATTCCCACCACCGTGCGTGCTCTCTATGCATTTGCAACATGCATTTTCCCTATTGTGCTGGGTGGCGAATGCTAATACTCTTGTCTTTCTTCTCTGATACCCTGAAGGGTTCACTAAGGGCAGACATTCACATCTCTGGTCATTTCTGCACTGACAAAGTCAGCCAAACCCTTGCAACCCTCTGTGCAGCACTTTCCCACTGATTAAAGAGGTCCCAGAAAATGTCCAAGTAGAGGCTGAGCCTCTCTGAAGCTGGCACCAGAGGGCAGAGCATTCCCATTGCAGAAAAGGCCTCTGCTCCCCTCAGGTGTCAGACTAAGATGGCAACTAGGCGTTTACTTTGTTTCCTATTTCCCAACATGATCAGGACCCTTTAAGACAGTTCCTCAAGTTGTAGTGACCCCCCCCCATTCATACAATTATTTTTGTTGCTACTTCGTAAGTGTAATTTTGTTACTGTTATGAGTCATGTGTTTTCTGATGGTGGTAGAGGACCCTTGTGTAAACCCAAACCAAAGAGGTTGCCGCCTGCAGACTGAGAAGCGCTGCACTGGAACAAAAAGGCATCCACGGGGCAGAATCGAGCTGCTATGTGATGACTATGGGAACAACTAGATGAACTCCCCATGTGGACAGAGGAGGACTCTCTGTAGGTGATCAGCAAAATAATGGAGCTGCCTGGCCTTAGGGTCAGGAATGGTGTAGGTGAGGCAGGAAATCAAATCTGAAGCAAATGTGTGGCTTTCTAAGTCTTCTGTGTGGCTAAGAATGACTGGATGACTGTTCAAAGATGCCCCGATGCAAAGCTGGTACATATATGCCTATATGTATGTATATATACATACATATGTATGTATATGTATACATATATACATGCATATATATTTGGTTTAGAAAGATTTTTATTTTATTAATTCATTTATCTTTGGAGAGTCTTTTAAAGGGACTTAGCAAATACAGAGACAGGAAGGTCTAGTGAAATGGCCCCCTGCTGGGCAGACACATCATTGTTTGTGATTTAGGTAGCCTTACCTTGGAGAATGTGCATATTAACCAGGCTGCCACGATCAGACCTGTTTCTGCCCTTGTGCTTTAGGGAATCTTCAGTCTGTAGAACAAAAGCACAAAACTCTCAATTTCTCTCCACAGAAAAAAGTACTCTATGAGTAGCAAATGAAAAATACCCTCCTTTCCCCATGTTTTTGCAAAGAAACACAAAATTTCCCCTTAGAATTTCAGTATGGAAAAGAAGGGCAGAGGGGTGAAAAGCCTGGGCCCGAGTCAAGGGCTCTAAACATAAACACAAAGGCAGCCTAGCGATGTTCATACGACAGTTGGCCTGCAGTCACTTTGCTGTAATGGATCTGATTGCCTAATTGTCACCAAAGCTACCAACGTCAGAGATAAACCATTGCACAAACTTGCACTATGATGGACTCTCTACAGCCCTTGCCAGTGGTCTCTGACATGGCGAAGTGTGGAACCTGCAGTCCAGACTTTGGAAGGCACCCGGGGAAGGGTGGTGTGCCACATCTCACTGCCATGGAGGAGCTGTCTGGAGGACTGACAGGCGAGGCTCAAACCAACTGAGGCTCACAGGCTTCTAACTCCCTCTTCCAGGTTCTTCCCTCTCCCTATTCTAGGTCTCCCTACTGCTGGTGACATCTGTTGTTCATTATTCTGCCTTGCTAGGAATCCCAGCCCCTCACAAACAAGTTGGGAGAAACGCAAACTCTGTTCTTCCTGTCTATTCACAGTCAGGCTACAAGGCTGCAACTAACAGACAAGGAAAGACACCAGCCAGTCATTTCCATGTCCCAGAAGGTGCTGGTGGCTTTTACATTGTATTGATGTCACTGATATTATCAGGAATAGAAATCTATGATGAAGGTGACCAATGAGTATGTCAAATTTCCCTTTAAGTGAAAAACCGAAATAAGCCAAACAACCCTGTCCCCCAAATGAGAAAATCAAATGAATGCCGTTCTTTGTGTAGCTCTTTCTACTCACAACCTTCTTCTTTCCACTGAACACTCTTATGGAAATCTGAGTTTGCTAAGAATGACTGTACCGACAGGGCAATGGCGGTGCACACTTTAACCCTAAGATTCAGAAGTGAGAAGCAGGCAGATCTCTATAAATTTGAGGCCATCCTGGTCTACAAAGCGAGTTTTAGGACAGGCTTCAAAGTTGCACAAAGAAATCCTGCTTTGAAAAACAACAACAACAACAACAACAAAAAATAAAGTAAAAGATAACTCAGTGGGAAGGCCAATCTTCCTTCCTTTCTTAAAGGTGCTTTGACCTTTTGACCTCTAGCCTATCTTTGATGACTGTCCTCCAACCTGGAGTGATTAAAAACATTTGCTTTTTAAACCAAAAACTATCACTCTTAGAGCTGACACAGGAGGTGTCGTTTCCACAGTTGTCTTTGTTCATGGGAGTGCGAGTCCACACAGAATGAGGACAGGGATGTGGAGTTTCCTTTGGAGTTTGTTGTAGAAATCCTACGTACCCGAGCCAACATTTTAGCATGCAATATCTATACCCTGTCAGCCACCCCTTGTTCAGAAAAGGCAGTTTGCAAAACTTACCTTGTCACTCTCCAAACTTTTTCTTGGGTCATGGAATTCAGTTGGACTTTTCAGTGCTGCAAAGAAAGATAAGGAGATGAGCCGGGGCTGGCTTGAGGCGGGGTCAGTCTTGCAGGGTTGCCGTGTGCTTGCTGAGCTATGCACAGTCTGGAAGTGATGGCCTCTATCAGGCTACAAGCAACAAAGAAGAGAGACTCAGAGGATGCCAGCTGCCCAGAAGCCACAGGAGACAGAGGAAGGCAGAACTCGGGGGTAAACCAGGAAGAGCAGCAGGGGCAGGATTTGTGACAAGAGAAGTGGTGGAGGCAGGCCATGCCAGGTTTCTGAGGACACACGGGGGCCAGGCTAGAATAACATTGGTTTGAGGGCTAAGTGGGGCAGCTAACACCCTCACTGACTTCACTAAGCCTTTAGTTCTATAAGCTTGGAGGATAGTTGTAGTCTGGGATGCATGTGGCTATCCTGGAGGAAAAGACTATTTCGGAATAGAACGTGGCTGGTTGATCATGGGCAGGCAGTCAAGGGTGTCAAGTGAGAAGCTGATACTCAGAACATGAGAGCTCAAAGGGTCCAGTGAACTCCAATCCCTGTCCTAACCAAAGTGGGGAAACTGAGGTCCATGGCCATGGATTGCCTTGTATGGGAACACACAGTTGGCTCCTAGGTCCTCTGATTCCCTCATTTTTTTTTTCAGGAGTGGGGTTCCAGCTGCTCTCTGGCAGCAGAGGTGGCCTTCCCCAGGCAGTCCTGTCCAGTGGCACAGAGTGGCACAGTCCTGTCCCAGTTAGCACTTCCGGTCTTCTTTGTGTCCTCCCATCTCTCCTTGGAAGCACCTCTTCACTAGGGTTCCGTAAACTCGGAGTAGCAAACGTGCAGAGCAGCTTTCTGCGCACATCTGAATTTCGTGTTGGCTTCCTGGCCGCCTGGGAACAGTGTCAGCTGGAAGCCATAGACAATCAGGCTTCACTGCAAGTGAAGAGGTTGAGCAGAGTACGGAGTTGCCTTGCTTTTCTTTTTAAATTAGTCATTCGTCTGGATATGTTTATGAAACACACGATCCAGATTCTACAAATATTCTAGCAGGTGTCCACACTCACATTACAGGCAAGGATGTCATTTTCTGAATCTTGAATTGGGTTTTTGACTAGGTCAGTGTGTGTGTGTGTGTGTGTGTGTGTGTGTGTGTGTGTGTGTGTGTGTGTGTACCTGTACGGAGCTCAAACTAACAGGACCTGGTAGTACATAGTGGGGTTTGGCCATATTATCTTCTCTGTAGGATGCTGTTTGGGCATGCTTACCAATTCCCCCAACTCAGTCCCACATTAGCAATGCTGACCAAAGGCCATGCCAAAATTGTCCCAACTGGCTGCTTTGTACCCAATATAGTCCACATTACCCGTTCTCTCTTCGACTGGAGCAGCAGAGGCTCTTTTTCAAAGGGAAAAGGACAGATAGCTTGACTATCACATTTCACACTGACCTGGCAAGGATTTTTGAGCTTCTGTTTGATTGTTACATATTCCACCTTAAAATGGGCCCCCCAGCTACACTTACTACTGTCGATGCCCCTCCCCCCTTTCTTTCTCACTTTTTCCCAGCCAAGCTTTTCTGAGAAACAAGCGTGTAGTGCTATTGTGGCTCATGTGCTTTCTTCAACAGGAATCTCGGTACCCTTGGGAAGGAGGCTTGCCTTTTCTCATATTTGATCTGTGGCACTCACAATGGGAATGGGCAGAGTGACTCCCTCTTGCCAAGCTACCAGGTCACAGAGTCTACTCGGGCCCCTGTAATGTGTGAGTTCTGCACCAAGAGGTGTCTACCTCTGTCCCATCTCCTGGTGTCCATGGAATTTTAAGCATTACATGTTAGTAGGGCCGAATTACTTTCATCACCAGTAAAGGGACTGATTCTGAACTGACCTTTATTGAGTGGTTAGGAAGAATAATGTGTTTTTCCTGGAGGTAGTCTCCAAAGGGAACCATAATCTTTAGATATTGCCCACATTCTAAACACATTTTGTTTTTTAAAATTATTGTATGTATGATGTTTATGTGGGGGCGCTATGATGAGGGGCATTGAGGAAGACAGAGGATGACTTTGTGGTGTTAGCTCTCCCTTTTCACATTATGGGAGTTCTGGGCATTGAGCTTAGGCTGTCAGATTTGTGTAGCAAAGGCCTTTAGCCACGGAGCCATCTTGCTGGCCCACACAATGCTTCTAATTGGACATGAGGGAAATTTACCAATTCTGTATCCTTGAGATTCTTCAGGTCTCACCAGCGGAGCTTCTTCTCCCTTCTTCTAGGAAACACTGCATCCCCTGCCCTGCCCTGGTTCTACAAAGCCACAGCTCACTGTCACTTCCTTTCCTAGGAAACACCGAAACAGTTTAGTCCTCGATGTTAGGAGCACAGTGGTCTTCTGGAACCTTCTACCGCAGGGTGGGAAGCTATGGCCATTTAATGAGGTATTGAGAAGAACAGGAAGAGGCCTACATGCTGCCCTCACCGAGCTATGCTCTCCTCGGGGTTTGCCGTGGGGGTCGGGTGTGCTATGGGGCACTAGCTTGAGGTCACACTATGGAAAACTCCCCAGCAGAGTGGCCCAGGGGTTGAGGTTTGTCTACCCTGTGACTCCAGAGAATGTGGGCTCTAGCCATCTCCCCTGCAGGCCTCCAAAAGTCATAATGCCTCCCTCGGTTGATCTTTTTTTTTTAATACACAAAAGACCACTTCTGCTGCCAGCCCAGGGAGTATCAAATGGCAAAATTTCATATTTAAAGGACACTGACATTTAAGATGGAAAAGGAATTTGGATTTCTAAATTAAAAAAATAAGTCCATGTGATTTCAAATTAGAATTCGACTATAAATCCAGTCAGCCACACATCTGACTTGTTCCCCTGGAGGAAGATTAATCGCTCCTCACAGGGGAATTCGTGTTCTCGCCTCAGCGTTCAGTCGCAGGCTATTCCTATTTCTGTCCCTGCAGCTCCAACTAATTTGGGTCAGCTGTGTGGACAAACATTCGCCTAGATAAGAACAGGCCTCCTGCGGTCCGTTGTGCTCCACTCCGACTTTAGGCCTTCAAGGGGATCCAGTGAGGCCGAGGTTGCAGAGAACTCATTAAGGCTGAGGCGGGGCTCTTTTAACCGAGGGCTGGGCGTTGGTGTTGAGTGGCAGCCCACTAGGGATGCCGTGCGGCACTGACTTCTCTCTAGGGGACCTCTCACTACCAGGCCCAGAGAGAACTCTGGGTACTCTGTCCTATACTCCACTGAATAGAGACGGAAGGAGATGCCAAGGGCTACAGAGGGTTCTTAGGACAGGCCCCCAGGAGCGGCAATTCCCAGCATCAATTGGGAACTTGTTAGACGTTCAGGCCCTTGAACCCCATCTCAGAACCACAGCCTCAGAATTTCTGGGAGGGAAGCATAGGAATTCGGCTTTGAACAAACTCTCCAGGTGTTGTTGATACCCAGGTTTAAGGACAACAGCCCGTGGGACTTGTAAGGCTAGTGTGCCCCTATTGAAGGAACAGATACAGCTGGTTCTAATGAGAAGCACTGGACTGGGATTGCCGGGATTGGATTTCAGTTCCTAGAAAGGATGCTCTGTGCCTGACAGTCTCTTTTGCCATTGCTACCTGGAGTCACAGCAATGCAGTTTAAAAGTGCCAGCTCCAGTGAAAACCATTTGCTAGTAAGTTTGTAGCTCACTTGTAGTTAGTTGAAAATAAGACGTGGATTAATAATGAATTTAGTAATAATTAGGCTTTTTAAATTTTAATTTTATATGTTTTGGTGTTTTGATGGCATGTATGCGAGTGTACCCTGTGTGTGCCTGGTTCCCACATTGGCCAGAGAAAGGTGTCAGATCCCCTGGAACTGAGGTTACAGAAGGCTGTGAGCTACCATGTGGGTGCTACAGGGTAGTCTGTGGGGAGGGAGACACGGTCATGTCCATACATAATCACAGTGCTGTGTGATTAAAGGCATCCCGGGTACCTGAGAATTTAAGACCCATCTAGTTGAGACCTCTCCTTGCTCGTATAACCTTGAACGAATCCAGTAGGTTTTCTGCACTCTTGGCTTCCCACTTATAAAATGGACTTCATGGTGTTTGCTCACACTGCCTTGCTTTGAAAGGCGAACAGGCCTTGAATACTTCCCTCTGAATAGTCAGGATACAGGCTTTGTGGAGGTGATGGCAGCTTGGAAATTATTCTCTCTATGTATCTATCTCTTTCTCTCTGAGGGGAAGTTGGTAATAGATCGCTTATTCTGTGCTCAAGTTATAGTCTTTGGGGTTTGAAAACAGTGTATTTGCCCAATGTAGCTGGTGGCATTTAAGACCTGGTGTGTACACTAGAGTCTGACCTCACACATGCAAATACTTGGGAGTTCCTCCTGTCGTGGATACAGAGACAAATTCAAAGCCTGTCTCCAGTGACTGGTTCTCTGTTTCTTAAGAAACAGGCAACTGGAAAATTGAGGGAGAGATGAAAGAGAAGAGAGAAGACACAATTGATCCAGCTTGGCACGGAAGTTCAGGGTACCGGCCCCTAGCTCTGAGGGCGAGATGGTAGGGAGAGAGGAAGAGGCAGACAGATTAATCCCCTCGTGCCCCGCGTTCTGCTCAGGCAGCCAACAGTGTGTGGTAGGTGCCCGTGGGGAGAAGCCAAGTCAGCTGGTGCACTGAGAAAAGGCAGGGGACTCTGTCCCGTGAATGTCTCAACACTATGGTGAGGCTGCATGGGGGGTGGGTGTGGGGATGGCCCGTCATTCTTCTGGCTACTCAGGAATGCCACAGAGTTCAGGGGTTTACCAAGGCTTTGCGGTAAGTATGTGGCTGATGTAGCTTGGATTAGTCTGCAAAACAAATAAAGGCAGCACCATTCACCGACAGCTCCTCGTGTCTCCAAATTCATTTACATAGATCAGATCATTGAACTCGAGCTGCCCGGAAATCCCTCTCCAGTCAGAGGTGGCTTTCTCTGAAACTGTGGGCACACAGTGACCTCTCTGCTCTCTAGGTCCTCAAACATCTATCCCAGTTCTGCCCTCTCCTTTTCCATTCCAGGAAGACAGCTGTATCCCTGTATTCCCTGAGTTTATCCCCATTAGGTGTTCTTTGGTAGCAGAGAGGGAAGCAACACTCAGGTTCCTCCTTCAAACCTCTTGGTACCCATTCTCAAGAAGAGCTCTACACTTCCCCAACTGCTCAACAGAAACAGTTAAACGAGGGCTCCGTGGAGCTAGCTCCTTAGTGACTCAGAAACTCTGTCTGATTCCTGTGTGTATGCCCTAGGTACAGCCTTACTCCTAGTAGATGCTCATAGCTCTAAGGCCATTTTTAGTACATCCAGGTCAAGAGGCTGAGAATCGTTTATGTGGGAGCTTTGGAAGGGGTCAAAATAAGATGGAGCCATTTAAGATTCTGAATTCATGATTGGAGCAAGTTCGAGCCAGATCAAATCCTAGCACAGAGGTGGGAGTGGGGCATGAAATTCCACCTCTAACTTTGGGGTTATTGACAATTGTTAGCTGCTGGGAGAGGGAGTTTCCTCTAAGAGTATAGCTCCCCTGGTCGATGATGCTCTGTTGGAAGCCTACGTGTCTTTCACATCATTGGTTTAAATAAAACAACATAAAGTTGGTTGGGTACGGAATCTGGGGTGTGTTTGGGAAGAGTGAATATAAGCGAAACTCTTAATGCAGCTATCAAATGAATAATAAAAATTTTAAAAATAAAAGTGTCTGCCTGGCAGGGTGATGCTCAGGTATAAGGAGTGCAGGGAGGATATTTGTATGAAAACAATGAGGAAAACACTCCTTGACGTTCCCAACGCCAGAGGGAGCCCTCTTCTAAAGCCCCAAGAGTGAGCTTTCTTCATAGCCTACATCCTTGAGCCTGCAGACCTGGTGAAGACATCCTTTCAAACCCTAGCTTCAGTGGAGAGTCAGAGAGTTTCATATGGGGAATCATGTGTATGTCTGAGATATAATTCAAACAATAAAGTTTTAGATTTCTTGACTGTTTGGAAAGATGGACTTCACCACTCACTGTGAAAGCTGTCTTAGGATATGGCTCAGCCTCCTACTCAGGTCCAAAGAAAACTTTTTTTCATAAGTTGCTCTAAGGGTCTACATTGGCCTAAGAATGTAAGAAGACATCTGTCTTCACTTCTAATCAAAAAATGGTGCATTTAATTTTATTCAAAGCACCAGAAGTGGGAAAACCATAAACTCATACAAACTCATAAAAACAAGTGAATGATTTTAAAGTGATTGGAGGTATTGGTAAAAAAATTGTTGCTGCTACTGGTGTGGACTGTTTGTTACTTAGAAGCAACCTCAAAGCCTGCACATTGTATGACCATGAAGAAGGAAGGAAGGAAATTGAACCCTGTGGGACGAGGTGGACAAGTCATCTGGAAAGAACATCTCAGCTCATTGGGCTGGGAGAAGAGAAAACACTGTTTATCATCACACTGAGAAAAAGTGAGATCCCTCAGAGCTGGTCAGAGTGAAACATCTCATTGAGATGACTGGGCCATCCTCCACATTTTCCCAGTGGGTCTCTGCAGTATTGGAATCAAAACCAGGGTTTTTTTTTGTTTTGTTTTGTTTTTTGTTTTTTTGTTTTTTGTTTTTTTGCACTAAAAGTGGGTGTTGCACCGTGAGTCACACCCCACATTTCTCCTTGACTATTTTGGCTGCAATGATTTATGTTTTTACAAATGTAAAACAATTTCTTTTGCACATTTGAGAAAAAAGATCTGTGTAGGGCCTGAGCCTTGCGGGTAGAAAGGGGGTCTGTGTGGGCACTGGTTCTGGCCTCTGCTCTATCACACGAAGAGAGAAATGGCATTTCTGCAGGCTCTGGAGATAACCCAACGTGAAGAAACTGCCCAAGAGTGGTGGTTCCCCGTTAACTACGTATATGTGACAATTGAGAATAAATCACTAAAGTGGCCATGGTTTTGTGTGTGGGCAATTTATAGTAAGTTGTGAAATTTTCAGAGAGAATTACAGTTATTTCACACCGTGGGCCAAGTGAGATTTTACAATAATCTTATTTTATGTATTAAGTTCTTGCACGTGAATAGGAGAGGGACCTGGAACTCGCTGGATCTGCTTTAGGACATTAGAAAACTCTCTCAGGCCTTCAGCTTCATCTCCATGAATGTTAGCTAGAAATAAGGATTTGACTACCGTGAGTGTCTCAGATGTCTGCTGAAGAGAAATATCACTCTAGTGAGGAGACTGCAAGGCTCCTAGGAGAGCCGAGGAGAGGCCCAGGGAGTGTGCGGACCATGAGCACTGCCTTGGCTAGAAAATGTGTAGATGGTTTCCTGAAAAACTTTTAAAAAAATAACTGAAAAACTTAAAAAGAAAAAAAAACATTTCAGTTATGTACACCTGACATGACAGCCGTGACCTAAACTACATCCCGGGGATCGTCGCTGTCTTGACCTTTTATTTTTCACTTGTTTCCAGATTTATACCCATAGGCTTCAAAAATATTCTTATCCAAAAGCAGGCTGTGAAATCCAGGTTCAGCATTTGGGCATGTGGGCTGAATTTTGTTTTAAATCAGTTGTGAACTTGGATGAACTGAGAGGTTCTGGTGTGTGTGAGCCATCTGCCCTTCCAAAATGAGGAGGGGACACCTCTGAGGACATGGCCGTGAGATTTGCAGTCTCAGATCCCTGCCTTCCTTCCATCTTTCTCACTTTCAGGAGACTGACCAGACGAAAACACCAGACACGAGCTTGCCGTCTCTGTTTCCCAGCAGGACAGTGCTGCTGGAGCAGTCAGTACTGAGATTACAGGACCTTCTGTCCCTTCTGTGCTCAGGAAAAAACTCTAAAGAAGTTTTGCTCCAAAGGTGAACATATGCTCACCTCATATGCTTAGCTAATATGAGGGCCGCTTTTGAATTACAAAAGGGAAAGCTTGAAGATTCTCAGCTCTGGGCAGTCCTCGGGCCTCAATACGCCCCTATACATATTAACCACCATAGTCTTGCCTAGGGTACAGTCTGAGAGGTGTATATTAAACACTGAAGCCCAGTACTGTGCAACGATTCACATTTCTGCAGGTGTTATTATGAACACAGATTTTTATATTTTATTTGGAGAATTAATATGACCTAGAAGAATTGGAACTGTGATTTCATGTCTGGGACACCTTCCCCTGTACTTCCCTAGACAACCAAGAATTAGCTTTAATTGTTAGAAAATTTCAAATAATCTTCTAAAACCTGTGATAATTCTTCTTTGACTCATACTTTGGGCAGTAGTTCAACACTGTATTTAGTATTCATGCTAGAACGGTATTGTAACTGAGTCTTCTACAAAGGAAATACTTGACAATATTTAATTAATTGTGGGTTCAAATAGCTGAACCCAAACCAAAAAAGGAAAAAAGAAAAAGAAATAGCATACACTTGGTACTTCTAGAAGAACCAGTTTCAAAAGTAGGAGAAGAGCCAGAGACGCCCACCATCCACTGAGTTTACCCTGGGAGTAAATCTACTATATTGGAGTCTTAGGAACAGCTTCTACATAGGCAAGGGTAGGAGACAAAACATCCACAGCCTAGATGTCCTCGGATTCAGATTCCCGGGGATCTCCGCTGATAGATACGTCGCCTGAGACTAGCTGATCTCTAGGGTCTTTTTGTTTCCTGGATATCACAGCTCTGAGGGGATGAGGAAGAGCGGCGGGTACTCACGTGGTATCAAGCCTTGGTTAGCCAGCTGCTCCTGGGTCCTTCGCTGTTGAAGCCGTAACTGTAAGACTTGGAAAAGGAAGCACGAGTGTGTGAGTTGGGACAGAAGAACCCCAGTCACATGTTTCATCACACTTTCCTAGCCCTTCTGGTTTAAGGTCCAGAACAGCTCTGAACAAGATGGTGAAGTACATTGTTATTTCTGAGGCAGACAGAGAGAGAAGCGTGAGAGGAGCAGGACGCTCGCAGGGCTGCGAGTCTACGGCGGCTAGAAGACTGGGCTCCTTTGAAGAGACTGTTATTTCTCCACACGGTGTTTCCCCCTCTCTACTACACTGTTTCTGAGATGGATGTGACCCAGTGCTAGCTGGGTGGCAGCCTGCGACTCCAAACGGGAGACAAAGCGAAGAAAACATCAGCTGCAAGGGAGGACCCGCTGGAGCCCAGATTCCATCGCCACTCCTTAGTGTGCACCTGGGCACACTGCTGACTCTCCTGGATCTCGGATTTCTCATTTGTTATAGGAGCCACACCCACCTGTCAGCATTGTTATGAAGCCCAATAAAGCAAATGTATTCACAGAGCTTAGCAAGGGCCTGTCAGCAATGCCATCGTTAGATGCTAGAACTAGGAGAGTCTGGGATTCTTATGGGAATTTAAAGGTTATCAGATTTATTCCTCTCTAAAAAAAGCTATAAATTATCCAAACATTATATTATGTACGTGCATTAGATATTCACAACACAAAGATCATGCATAAAACATGTGCCTGTAAAATGTTAACACTGAATAGTACAGGATTGTTAAAATGTGAGTAGAATATTTACAATTTTTTTCCTTTCTCTCAAACACATTCTGCCTTTGGAAATACAGCTTTCCCTTCATGAATATTCTATTTTCTCAGGAAGATTCTGGTTTCCCATCCTGATCCTTGGCTTCGGTGGTTGGGAATAAGAACGTACATTAGTCGGCCTCCATTACTGTCACCAAATACCTGATGTAAACACTGTGGAGTGGAAGGGCTCGTTTAAACTTGTACATTCAGAGGTTAAACCAACCCTGTCACCGATTAAAAACAGAAAACGCTGAACAAACCACACACACACACACACACACACACACACACACACACACCCTGAAGAAGCTGATTGCAGAGAGCACCGAAGCTTGGAGAAATGACTTGAAGTTCCAACTTTGGAAGCTTAGGCTTGAAGACACCCGTAGTGAGAAAAGTGACAGAGACACCTAGAACTCCGGAAGCAAATCAAAGCTCAAACTCCAGGTCAGAAGCATCAGGGACCGGTGTTCTGCTGAGTCCTGTCAACTGCCAGAGTGAGATGAAAGGCTCAAGCAAGAGGGCAGTTAGGAGCAGGGAGGCCCCTAGCTCATCAGGATCCCCCAGTGTCACACTGATTCCTATTGTTTCCATGGGGCAGACTCTAGACACAAGGGCGAGAGTCAGCTTGGTTTACGTCTCGGTGGATTAATTGTCTACTATGATAAACACAGAAAAATCTGTATTTCCAGAGGACTGTGACAGACTTTGGGGTTATATAGTATATGGCTTGTCCAATGTCTGGGGAACAACTTAAGATTACACACAAAGAAACAAGTCATTGGAACACATGCTAAGTGGAAACGACAAAATAAAATAAACCCACATTTTGGTCTTGGGTTGGGATTACCTATGGTTGGGATTACCAGATAAGGATTTAAAGGGAGTGATTTTTCAGCCACGTTCAATAAAGTCAAAGAAGCAATGATCAAAATGAAAGAAAGGATGGACAATCAAACTACAACACACACAGAGAAAGGAAATGGGAATACTGCAAACCTATCTGTAGAATGGTCTGGAAAACACTATTGCATGGAAAATGGGTTTGCTAGGTCTGTAAATGACAAAGGGCTGAGTCATCTCAGAGGTCCATCAAACTGAAGGAGGGAAAACAGAGGGAATTAAGTGAGCAGATTCTCTGGGGTTTATAAAACAATATCCAAACACCTGCCTCTGAGGACTTAAGATTGCCAAAGGACGCACAGCAGACGAAACGGTGGCTAAACAGCATGACTAGGGAGGTAACGTCAGCTTGAATGGCCACAGGCTTCTCATCAGAACTCCGGGAAGATGGGAGATCAAAATGAACCCAGAAGCTCTCAGCCTGCACAGAAGCGCCCTACAGAAATGAAGGTGGAGTCAGGTGATGTTCGGAGTAAGGAAAATAAGGACACCAGCTGACAGCTCACGCCGTTTCAAGAATTGATTATGGAAACTAATGCCGAAAGGAAACCTGGGTATTCAGAAATAAGGATATGAGCAACACTATCTAGAAGACATTTAAGATTTATTCCTTTCTTATTAATTTAAAAACCGTGTCTATTGGGAGGAAGACTGAGCACCGCCTGCTGGCTTTCCCGAGGGGCGTGGATGCAGTGCAGACAGGATGGCTGTAGGGTAACAGATCTTCTCTTCTTGGGTCTTGAGCTTCCCACAAAGGTCCTCACGGCCAAGGCTTGGTCTGTGGCCTAAGTGCTCAGGAAGCGAAGGACAATTTAGAGCCCAGGAAGGAAGCTGGGTCACTAGGGGTGTGCCCTTGGATGAAACACTGGGTCTTGACCCCTTCTCTCGTTCTTTCTGCTGTTCGAGATGTGTTTCCTTCTCTGCCGCATGCTCCTGTCATGCTGGGCTGCTTCCTGCAGGCCCAAAGCAGCAGAGCAGCTGGATCATGGACCGGGACAAGACAACCTTTCTTGTTTGTATGTTGGTTATCTCAGGTACTTGCGACTATACTTTTTACTAAAACGGGTTATTGACTACATACTTTCTATAATATTCACACAGTGGTATGACTTCAATGATAAAAGCTAATAATGCATATTATAAACCCCAGAGCACCCCTTCCCAAAACAGAAATACACCTTTAACAGCCAATAGAAAGGAATGCTGGCTGGTTCAGTCGTGGTGGTACACACCAGTAGGATTTGCTGAAGGAGGAAGAGGAATGAGGATCATGAGTTCGAGACCAGTCTGGGCTACACATTCTTGCTGGGTGGTGGCACACACCTTTAATCCTAGCACTTGGGAGGCAGAGGTAAGCGGATCTCCAAATTTGACATCAGCCTGGTCTACAGAGTGAGTACTAGGACAATCAGGGCTACATAGAGAAACCCTGTCTAAAAAAAAAAAACAAAAAAAAACAAAAAAAACTAATAAACAAACAAACAAGGGGATGCTAAATTATCAAAATAACCCAAAGGAAGAAAGAAAAGAAATATTGGGAAAAAGAGAAGCTTTAGACCTCACTGAATCAGTCATCAGAACAGAATTCGCTAGGAAGACATGTTCAGAATGGGTCTTAAAGGAATGTTAGTTAAGTCAGTTTTTCCTACCTTATTATAAAGATTCGGATTAAAATGAATTGAAAACGGCCTGCCACTCAAAAAGTGTCAAAAAACCTGAGTGATGGTTAGAATATCGCACAAAATGGACCTCTAGTCAAAGAGCTTGCTAGATGCCAAAGGCATTTTAGAGGCAGGTGAGATGGCACAGCGGGACAAGGTTCCTGTCACCCAGGCTTCCCATCTGAGTTCCATTATAAGACACAAAAGGACTCCAGCAAATTGTTCTATCCTCCACATGCGCACTGTGGCACACACGCATACAAAATAAATGAAGAAATGGTTTTTTAATGTGGCATTTTAGAATTAAAAAAATGGACAATTACTAGTAAGATATTGCAACTGTACACAGACAACATGAGTGTGTCCTCTCTCAACATTTGATTAATCTAAATGAAAAAAAAAAAGTCCCCAGCAACTCAGAGGAGTGGAACAGTATGTACAGCCTTATCTTAATTGACTTGTTTCTTGGCTTGGTGGCAGAGCCCTGCCCCCAACAACTGCAGACAACAAACCCTACCAACGTCAGAAGGGCTTAGCTCACTCAGGGCGTGTTCTCTTATTAGACTGGAATTAATTAGAAATCAGGAGCTATATGTTGCTGAGGAAAATATTTGACTATGTACTTTGAATAATTCACGAGCCAAAGAAGAAAGCACAGGGGAAATTAAAAGTACTTTGGCCTGAATGACAATGAGCAGAGGAAGTAGTTTCTGGAGAACAGCAACCACCATGGTCGGAGAGAAGTTCAACTCTATATGCTCTCATATGGGAAAAGAAGAAAGGCTTAAGATTAGCGACCCAAGATTCCACCTTAAGAAGACAGAAAAGGAGCGTGTCCCAAATGATAAATAAATGTTACTAGAGATTGAAGCAGTGTGATGGTTTTAATAAAAAGGACCCTGTCTTAGGGTTCATATTGCTGAGATGAATACCATGACCTAAAAGCAAACCGGGGAGAAAAGGATTTATTTGGCTCACACTTCCACATTTTTGTTTATTATTGAAGGAAGTCAGGATAGGAACTCAAACAGAACAGGATCCTAGAAGCAGGAGTTAATACAGAGGCCATGGAAGGGTGCTGCTTACTGGCTCGCTCTTTCCGGTTTGTTCAACCTGCTTTCTTATAGAACCCAGGACCACCAGCCCAGAGATGGCCCCACCCACCACTGAGGCTGGCCCCACCCCCAATCATCACCAGTGAATAAAATGCCTTATAACTGAATCTCATGGAGGCATTTCCTCAACTAAGGCTCCTTCCTCTCTGATGACACTGGCTTGCGTCAAGTTGACACACAAAAACAGCCTGCCAATCCAGGCACCCATAAGCTCACATTTTCAGGTGCTCAGTGCCCAGTTGGTAGAACTGTTTGGAAATGATTAGGAGGTGTGGCCTTGTTAGAGGAAGTGTGTCACTGGGAGTGGGCTTTGACTTTTATTTTTCACAAGCCCACACCAGGCTTGGTCTCTTTCTCTGCATGCTGCCTATGGATCAGGATGCAAAGGTCGCAGCTCCTGCTCTAGCATCGCGTCTTCCTGCTGCCAGGCTTCCTGCCATAGTCCTCTGAAACTGTAAGAAAGCCTTCGAGTTAAGGGGTTCTTTCCCTTGGTGTCTCTTCTCTGCAATAGAACAGTGACTAAGACAAGCAGAAATCTTCAAAAAGGAAAACAGA